GTATGCTTGCCTTTTCTGACTGGTACTCACTGGATTTGATCCTTTTCTTTCCTCAAAAGGATGCCATGCCTTCTAATGTACTGTGTTTCATTTTGTTTTGTGCACGCACCTACCGGGAAATGTGGAGATGTGGAAGAGAAACAGAGAGAGATTCTGGAGGGGATGGGCAACACTTTCATGTATATGTGGGCACATATATATGCAAAGAGCAGAAGTTAATGTCAGGTGTCTTCCTCAGGTGCTCTCCACCTTATTTTTTTGAGGCAGGGTCTCTAACTCAATGTGGAACTCACTGACTTGGGTAGCCTAGCTGTTCAAAATCCAGAGATCCTCTTGCCTCTGCCTTCTCCCTGCTGGGATTACAGTTGTGCCTGGCTTTCATATGGGTACTGGGGATCGAATCCACACCTCCATTCTTCTGTAGCAAGCACCTTACCACCTGAGCCATTTCCTAGCTCCCTTGTCAATGTTTTCATGGCTTCCTTTTATTTTATACGTTGAGATGGTATAAACTATAAACTAAAAAATGACAATTTTGATTCTTTATATAGCCCACGCTCGTGGCAGTAAGAATGCAAGATTATATATATTCACCTTTTATCAGCAGAAATGATATGATGTGCAGAAGTGGAAGGGGGCATTCATTCTCTACACCTTGGCTTTTATGTAACAACCCTATTTTGAAGGATGCATGGCAACCACTGGCATGATGGAACAATACAGCAACCTACCACCCCCTCAAAGCAGGTAAATGGTGTTAACAGTGAGGGCTATTTATAGATAACCCCTTCCATCTATGCAAATGTGAGCTTTCCATCCAAAGATTAGAACGTGAAGACTTGGACTGACATGTCAATTAGGCACTGAACCACACCTAGAAGGCTTTCCACCACTACAAGGTTCCTTTACTGCCAGGCAGATCAAACCAGCTCTAATACTGGGAGAAATGGATCCCCAGGGAGATGGCCAAAGTGGAGGTTCAGCACCCTGAACACCCCATTTCCTAGGTTCTGAGGAAATGGCTTGGGCTCTGATGACAAGCTGCTGCTGTGTTCGACATTTGGACCTCATATGGTCTGAGACAAGGTCCAGATACCCAACTGTCCGCACACAGCAAACAAACTGCACTCACTTCCACACTTGTGTTGTGCATACGGTTGTGCATTTTTGTGTGTGCACGTAGAGGAGAGAGATGCACGCTCATGCACACATGTGAAGACATAAGATGGGAAATGGGTGTCTTCCTTTTTGATTCTCTGCCTTATTCCCTTGAAACAGGGTTTCTCACGGAACTTGGATCTTGTCACATCAGAGGCAGGACTCACTGACTAGCAAGCCCTGCACTAGTGTTGCAGACACATGTAGCTATGCTTGTTAGGTGGCTTCTGGGATCTGAACTCAGGTCCTCATGGTTGAACCAAGTGTTCTTACCCAACAGGAATTTCCTCAGCCCACTCTTTCTTGCTTTCATCTCGCAGATCATTTAATACATCAAACACGAACACACAAATATCGCCAGGAATCAAGTCTCTGCCCTTCCCTGACATCTTGGAAACAAAGAGTGCAGCAGGGCATTGTGGTATGTTCGTAATTTCAGCCCTGTGAAGACTGAGACTGGAGGATGTCAAGTATAAAGCCAGCCTGAGCTACACAGCAGGGCCCTTTTTTTCTCCCCTCTACCTCCCCCCCCAAAAAAAAATAAGGGAAAAAAGAGTAAAGAAAACAGAAAACTCTAAATTGGAAAGTAAGAAAACCCAAGATAAGATTTCTTACTGAATCTCCCAGAAGCCCTTGCTTCCAAATTGGTAACTGTGTCCCAGGCCCTGAGCACAGAGCATGGGGAATGAACCACTTCATTATAGTAGCAAGAACCCTATGACCCAGGTGACACCTCAAGCCCCACTTCACATAAGGAAACTGAGGCACAGAAGAAGAGATTGATGTGACCAAGAGCAAAGAGTCATAAGCAGTGCTGGGACTTCAGCTTGGAAGAAAAAAACAATTCATCTTTAAGAAACATTACCCAAACAGGACCTGAAGCTCGGTGTTCTGCCTGTGGGGCCACTGTCCCGGGTTCAGAGCTGCAGGGTTTCTTGTGGATATGCATCAGGGCTGCCCTTCAAAGCTGCACATATATTTAAAGGGAACACCAGGCAACAAGTACTGGATTGTGAAAAGTGCATGCTCTATCAGACAGACAACTATCCACAACCCAGCCACAGGATGGCAGGAGCCAACTTTCCCGTGGGAAGTGCTCTGTGCAATGATGGCCTCAGATAAGGGCCAAAGTCTGTACTAAGCTTTTTGCCTGAATCATCTTGCAGATTCTCTGCTAAGCACAAGATCATCCACTAGCTGCTTAACTTGTACCCACTTTCCAGGTGAGACACAGTTGGGACTCAGGGTTGTTGAATGACCTGTCCAGTCTAATAAGGGAAGCTCATGGAAGAATAGGGTCTGACTCCAAGCCAATCTAACTCCAGCACATGCAGTGTGGTCACACTGCTGTCCTGTGTCCACAGAAGGTGTGAAAGCAAGCCTGCTAACACAAGTCTACTTCTCTCATGAGCACAGGCTGGGGACAAAGAGACTGTCTCGTAGGACAAGGCAAATTCCATCCTGTTCACTGTGCCAGTTAGGAATTTTCACAGAAAGCACATCCAGGTCAATCTGAAGCAGAGAATGTGGACAGGGCAACTCACTTGTCACCCGAAGGTAAGAAGAGATCAGCTGACATGTTCCACAGTCAGTGGGAGGGAATGGCAGGAGATGGGTTGTCATATCTTCAAGTCCGCTAAGACAGGCCAAAGTAGGGCCCTCAACCCGGTCTCTTGAATACACTAGGAGAGCACCACTGGATAAGAAGTGGCCATGTCATTGGGATACCATGACTTAACCTGGCCAAAACCTCAGAACCAGAGTAATGAACACTCATCTGCATATTCAGGACTTAGAATTTTATACCTCTCTGGGGGACATGTGTATCCCTCGCAAGTCTCAGGCTCAGCATGGCCCCATAAGAAACATGAAGAGTCTCAGGAGTTCGCTGAGATGTGAGTCTCTGCTAAGACTCGGACAGACTGGAATGTGAACACAGAGTAAGTCAAACATGACCCTGGACAACTGGACAACTTTGCATAAGTAAGCACACGAGCAGCTCGGCAACTGCCCACGTCTCCTACTTTCCATCCCTCTGGAGCGCCCACCACATTTCCTACAGCTAAGGCTGGGTGTCTCAGGAATCTAGAGAACAGGACTAGAAGGCACGCAGGAGGCTTCAGGGAAGCTGAGCAAAGAGGCCCTGCCGCTGTGAGAAGGGCCACTTTCATCTCTTGGCTCGATATCTTCCTTGCAGGTTCTAGGAGCCATGACTGGAGACCCTGCAGCCACCACGCGGCAAGACAGCACTAATACCCTTGAGCAGGCAGAGCAGAAAGACAGACGGCACGAACTGCTCTCTCCACATGTGTTTCATGAAAGAGAGCACACAGCAAATTCGTCCACCTCCCTACAGTAGCATCTGTTCTAAGACAGTCATTTGCAAATAATACAGCGGAACAGAAACACCTCTTCGGATAGCACTGCCGTTCTCCGTGAGGACCAAAACCCTAGGAAAAATCCACAAATTGGGTTTCTAGTTCCCACCTTCTATTCTTAAAGCTGTTTGTTTAACCCTGACTTCCCTTCTTAATTAGTACTGCTGGTCCAGGGACGCGTATTTGCTGAGCCTGTCTATATGTTTTGACATGCAAGACTTGTGAAATTCAAACATACTGCAGACATTCAAAGCATTATTATTTATTAAGGCCCATATTAAAGGTGGAAGATCTTAAAGGCCTCTCAGATTCTGATGATTAAAGGAAATTTAATCGCTCTTCATTGGCATTTGATCTTTAGCCTGCCACAATCTACCCGTGTAGCCCTTCATCCATATTTGATACTAAAGAGATATTTCAACAGCGTGTCCATCAAGTGTAACACAGACGGAGCTCAGAGACCACATGACTCACAAAATAAAAGAGCATTCCACCACCCTGGGTTAGCTAATGAAAGCGAAGGTGACTGGGGAGCCGGAGCCATGGAAGGGCTTCCCCTCCCATGGAAGGAAGCCATTCACATACAGTCCACCCCGCCCCAGCCTGCCAGTCTCCCGCTGGGTTGGAAGGGCAGGGATTTCAAATCCCTGTTTCTCCCTCATTCATAGTTTCCTCAAGGTCAGAGAGACTAGTAACCCTGTGAGCTGTGAAGTTCATGGATGGCCCCCCAACCTTGACGTATCAGAGGATGGGGGAGCAAACCAAAGCCCCTCAGGTCAATATAGCTCAATAATTATTTGGTATACAACATTCACGGGGACATAGTAGCCCCACTCATTTTTTTTTCAAGTACCCATAATTAACTCTGCTAACCAACGGCAGAGGTACCTAGCTGCAGCAGACACTGTCTGGGGCCCAGGAGGGTAACTAGAGTCACTCTCTGGCCCTTTGGAAACAATCGGAGCCATCTCTGCACTCGGACATCTTCTTGCAACTATGACCCATGACCAGGCACAAATGGGATTTCTTTTAGTTTGTTCTGCTTGGGGGTGTGAATGCGTGTGTACGTGATGCATGTTTGTGCAGGTACATATGCACATGTATGGACATGTGTGGAGCCAAGGGTGTCATTCCTCAGGAGACATTCAGCTTCTTTTGTGAGGCAGGGTCTCTCACTGAGACATAGAACTCTCTAAATAAAGCCACCAAATCCACCTGTCTCTACCGGTTTGTTTTTGTTTTTTTATTTCTTATTTTTTGTCGTAAGATTGATCTCAGGCCATCATGCTGGCGAGGCAAGCACTTTAACCACTGAGCCACCATCCCCAGGCCTGAAGGTACCTATGCCTAAAAGTCATATAACTGTCACAGAAAGTTCCAGCTTGGGAACTCACACCTGATCCTGGGGCAGATGGCCCACAATTTTCTCTCCACCCCTTGGTGACACAGACATTGGTTACTTACCCTGAGCTTTTAATAAGTCTCACAGCCATAAAAAGCCTGGGGTCACTGGCAGGGGGCCTGCAGAATGCCACAAGACTGCACCACACAGAAGGACCCTGGAGGCAAAAAGGAGAGAGAAAGGGTTAGGGCCAGGGCATCCAGGGGGCGTCACTGGACTTCTCCCCTCACACGTGAAATCGGCCCCAATATTTTCCGATGAAAAATGTTAAAACCAAGCGCACCTGTCACTCCTGAGGGCAGAGATATTCTGGGAGGTGGTCTGGTTCCCTGAAGTGTTCATCAGTGTCTATTCCTCATTTCATGTGTGTGTGTGTGTGTGTGTGTGTGTGTGTGTGTGTGTGTGTGTGTTGCTACATGTGTGCATCAGTATAGAGGTTAGATGTCATAGTGAGAGAACTTCCTCAATCACATAATTTGGGAAGCGGGGTCTTTTACTGAACCCGGTACATTCGGCTAGACTAATTGGCCAGCAAGTGCCAGGGATCAGGCTGTCTCTATCTTACTAGCTCTGGGATGAGCGACACTTGCCACTGTTTTATGTGTGTGCCAGGGATTTGAAAGCACAGTCTCATCTCATGGGACAAGCACTTTACAGAGCTCTCTCTCAAGCCACATTCTAAGGATGCATTCTCCGAATTAATGCTAACAGACCCTGAGAAGTAAGAGCAAGAAGACACACTGATACAAAATGAAGATTTCATTTCAGGTTTGGGTCAATTAACCTGGCTTCAGGTGCCCTGTAGATGAGGCCAGGAGGAAACCTGTACCATCCAGGCACGGGTGCCCTGAAAAGGCAGGTGAATTCTTGCCTGTCAGCCAGACACATTGTCTCATTTGTCATTTTACCAACTGCATTTCACATTCCAGTAGAGGCCAGGACAGCCTTGTCATGGAAGGCAAGAATGTGTGCTAAAGCCGTGGGCTTCTGTGGCTCTAGTTGAGTTATGAGTATACTATTTACTGAGTTGGCCAACTCTGCTGATGGAGCAGTCAATTCCTCTCGGAGTGCTTTCTGAATGTGTAAGCTGCCAGTCAAAGGCCCCCAGGAAGCCCTGAGGTGATCATGCCACCTCCATGGCTGGGGAGGCTACAGAAGGAATGCTCTAGGAGAAACAAAAGGAAGCAGAATGAGGGCCCAGTACAAGCCCTTCAGGGGATGTATGTGAACTCTTCCCACAGTATGTGTGGGCAACATTTGGTGACTGTACCCATTTTTTTTAGATTAGTCAAACTGAGAAGCTGAAACTGAAAAGATGTATGGAGTTTCATGATTTGAATAATCACATGTCTCTGGAAACCATGAGGGTTGTCTGTCAGGCAGAACACAGAGAGGAGTTCAGAGATAGTGCTCTGGTTGGGTATCTCTTCCAGATTCAGATAAATTCGGGCTGGTTTCACCACACTGTTTTCTGGGCATCAGCTGCGTGCAGCACATAGACTGATCAAGCCATACAAGCGTGAACGTCCTTGTTCTGGGGCTTGTGAGATGACCCAGGCAGGAGAGTGCTTGCTGTGAAAGCAAGAGGACCTGTATGCAATTCTGGAAACCACATCAAGAAAAACAAAGGAGTTTGGTGGGGTGGACTTGCGATCCCGGTGCTGGAGAGGTGCGGAGAGGAGGTCTGTGCAGCTTGCTGGCCAGCCAGCCTTAGCCCCGTCAGTGAGCCCCGGGTTCACCAAGAGAAAAATGTGGGAAGCACTTGAGGATGACACCTGACGTTAACCTCTTTATATACAATGATGGATACATACACACACACACAGACACACACACACACAAACACACACTCACCCTAGTTCTCCTAAGGTAGGCTATGTGGTCATTATTCTTCTCAAGCAAGGCATAAGAATGCATCCAAACTATTTTCAAAGGAAAAATAATATTTTAAAAGGACATTTGCATTGGGGTAAGCAGTGATCATTCAGATGTAAGCTCCTAAAATGTAAACTCCTAAGAACTGCCATCATGAGAAAGGACCATTGTCATGGACTCATCAGCATAATAAGATAATGAAGTTCATTACGTTGTCTTCAATGGAAGTACACTTGCTGACGAGCATCCCCCAACACTGACTCTGAGACCCCAAGAGCTGTGCCTCTTTAAGGACCGGCTTCACATGCCTCAAGAGAAAGTCAGCCCTTCTCAGTCCTCACACCAGGGCAGAGCCACTGGGGAACTTTGGGGCCCTTTATTATCTACTTGTAAAATGTTATAAGCCCGTAAACTAGTTAATTTATGAGCCGTGTTAATAATTTGCTCACACTTGATCGCGGGTTTCGCAAACACGGCTTCCAGGGATGTGGGAGGATAATTTGTAGGTCCAGCTTCTCGGCTAAGGGGACACTAACTAATTTGACACACTACCATGACATTGATGGCGGGGCACACTAATGACTGTACTCCTAGACGTGGCTGTCAGCCTGTCGTTCCAGTGAGGAGCCTGCTTGCTCTCAGTGTGGCTCAGGACACAGCGCTCAACTCATTATTCAGACAGCACCATTAATGAGAGCCCATGTTTATTTCCACCATACTAACCAGTGCTTAGCTTCCATTTGTCTGATACGGTCATTGATTAAAATGGGTCTCATGAATAGTAAATTTGAGCCCCACAGAAACAAAGGGCCACCAGAGGAAAAATAAGCAAGAGTCGACTGGAAAACAAACCTGGTCAACTTGTTTTCTGCTTCCAATGTCACTCAGGACGAAGTGACAGGTGGAAGGAAGTGCTATGGATACCAAGGAGAGAGAAGGGGATGTTATAATCACACCGGCCTGTGGATCAGCTTGACTGTTCTGACCATGGCCACTTTATCCTCGACACAGTCAAGAGTGCTAGTCAGGAATGCCTTCAGACTCGTACAAACCTTAGAAATCTTCAAAATGGGGTATCACATAATGTACTGTAATGATGGGGTTTCCTATGACATCTTTACACATACATATCACACTGTACATGGGTGTCACCCATGACACCCCCTGCCCAATCCACTGGTCACTTAAATAGACCCCCCTCCCCCGCTTTGCTCTTGTGCTGTGCTTGCATGGACCTAAATTCCACATATGAGAAAACATGAGGTACTCCTCTCTCTATGAGTGTGGCTTCTTTCACTTAACAGGATGACCTCCAGCTCAGATCCTTTTCCTGCAAATGGCATGATTTCATTCTTTTCTAAAGGAAGAAGAAAACTCCATTGTGTACATACACCACATTGTCTTTACCCATCTGTCTACGGATATGTATTTTGGCATGTTCTGTGTCTGGGATACTGTGAAGAGAGCAGCAGTAAGCTTGGACTTACAAGCAGCTCTGGAGGGCCTGGGATCCATTGGAGTATGGCTGGGTCAGTGTATCAGGGTTTCTCTTTCTCTGCATTTGCTCTTTCCTTGGTGACAGTAACCTGGGGACTCTATGTGCAGAGTTTTAGGTTCATTTCTCCACGGGTGACACAAAGGTTTACTATGCCTTTCAACCTTACAAAAGTTTGTTCTTTAATTAAACTGACTCAAACATGATCATCAAGGACACCAATAAACACATCTGTGATTTTTCTGAACTGATAACCAAACTGTATAGCTGCAGGGTTTTTAAAATATCCTTTTATACACGTTCCTAGTCCTAACTAAACCTTGTAATCAATTTCTATCTTAAATTAAATTTCTATTTTGGTCTGACAAATTTTCTTTCATTTTATGATGATTATAATCCTAAAATATTCATATAATAATTTAAAATGAATAACTTTTTTAAAAGGTAGGCCCACATCTATTAAAGGAATGATAAAACCAAGACTACTCCCAATGTGGTTCATCATAGAATGTGCAATTCAAATTAAATATTTCAACAAATGCTGTCTGCCACTCAGGATAAAGAATTCTACTGAATACTGCATATGACTTTGGATTTTTATAAAATAGCAAAACAAGTCTGAGCCCACATAGATCACTTTGGGAATGAGAGTGTCACTGCATTCAGCAATTCTAAGTACATACTCCTGGACTCACTGCCCAAGATAGAGCTATAATTTCAGAAGGGCCATGATGCCTAAACACTGCACAACATGTGGAGAGCAGATTTAGATGGTGGGCTGGTTTGTAAGGACAAGTACCCAGAACCATTGTTCCAAGCAACCCGGCTGTCTCCAAACGTTGCTATTTCCGTGGGCAACCACAGAAGGCAGGTATACAAAGTGTCAGCATCTCTACACTGTGCACTTCCAGTAAGTAATTGTTGCCCCATCATGACCTGGTAAAATATTGTCAGTCTGTGGCCATGACTGGATAGGTGATCATCAAATCCAGTGTTCCTCTCTAAGCAGAAAGCTTGGCTGGGTGCTCTGTCCCCTTGCAGCTATGAAGATCCATGTCATCAAGTCCTGGCCAAACAGAGCAAGGTAGGATGCATCACCTTCTGACTCCCATGCCTCCTCACCATGCCTGTGGCCCTCTCTCATCCCTCGATTGAGGGTCCAGAGACCCAGTGGGCATTCCTACCATCTGAGGGCAAGTATTACAGAATGTCTTAAACCCAGGGCCCTCAAAGTACATGCAGATCATTACAGAAGTCATCCTCAGATCAGGAAAGGATACACAGAGCAGAGGCATGGCCAGCAACTCTACTCCACCCTCAACAACCAGGGGCAACCTGAGGGGTACCCAGGGAGTGGAAAGAACTCACTAGGTGAAGCCTCTTGGATCCAGTGATGTTTATGACCCCTACCAACAGTGCCTGACCCCTCTTTTTATTTCTTTAGTCTATGTTCTGATGATTGCTAAGCAAGTACTATGCTACCTCTCTGAACTTTATTGTATGATTCACATTCATTCATTCATGTTTCCACACCTATTTTCTTCTCCTTTCCCACTCCCTTTCTTTTCACTCTTCCTCTCTGTTCAGTCTCCCTCTTCCTCTTCCCCCCTCTCTCCTTTTCTCTATATCCCCCATTCCTTCCCTTCTTCCTTCCTTCCTTCCCTTCTCTTCACCGGCTAGCACTAAACTCTAGGCCTTCTATATGCGAGGGAAATGCAGCGCTAACAGCTCTCAGTTTTTTGTCTGTCTTCCTTTCCTCCCACCCCTATTATTATTATTATTATTATT